TGTGTGTGTGTGTTTGTGTTTGTTTGAATGTGTGTGTTTGAATGTGTGTGTGTATGTGTGTGTATGAATGTGCATGTTTGTTTGAATATGTGTGTGTGTGTGTGTTTGTTTGAATGTGTGTGTGTTTGAATGTGTGTGTATGTGTGTGTATGAATGTGCGTGTGTGTTTGAATATGTGTGTGTGTTTGTTTGAATGTGTGTGTTTGAATGTGTGTGTGTATATGTGTGTTTATGAATGTGCGTGTGTGTTTGATATGTGTGTGTGTTTGTTTGAATTTGTGTGTGTTTGAATGTGTGTGTGTATGTGTGTGTATGAATGTGCGTGTGTGTTTGAATATGTGTGTGTGTTTGTTTGAATGTGTGTGTTTGAATGTGTGTGTGTATATGTGTGTTTATGAATGTGCGTGTGTGTTTGATATGTGTGTGTGTTTGTTTGAATTTGTGTGTGTTTGAATGTGTGTGTGTATGTGTGTGTATGAATGTGCGTGTGTGTTTGAATATGTGTGTGTGTGTGTGTGTGTGTGTGCGTGTGTGTGTGTGTGTGTGTGTGTGTGTGTGTGTGTGTGTGTTTGTGTGTGTTTGTGTGTGTGTGCCTGGAGTATGTGTCCCAGTTGTCGGCAAAGCTATGTCTGAGCAACGTGGTGGAAAAAAAATTCGTACTGCTCAAAAATTTAGTTCCATCAGAAAAAACACTTTTAACCATAATTTCTTAATAACGTATTGAAATGATTTTATGATTTTTTCAGGCGAAATATTTTTATTGGTTACTTTTTGCTGCATTGTGTACTTCATCAACGGTTAAAATGTTTGTTTTTACACCCTATGTTATAAAAAGTTTTTAAAGCTACTCAAGATATTTGAATTTTTTTTTAATCAGCGTATTCAGCCTTAAATTTGCTACAACAAATTTGCTCTTATTTCACTATCCAAAATTTTCAACCACTGTGACCTTCCTCCGGGCACACACACACACACACACACACACACACACACACACACACACGCACACACACACACACACACACACACACACACACACACACACACACACACACAGGGGCGAAGAGTCTATATAATCAAATAATCACTGCTTCCCTTTCTAATTTTGAAACATTGTCGCTGTCAAATTCATCCTTAAACGTAAACCTCATAAATGAAATGTAAAAAGACGTTCGTAACCAACAACGAACAGTATGCCTAACATTCAAAACGGTTTCACGGCCACAGAAATAGCCTCCTCACCCCACTCGGCCCACTCCATAAGCAGTCGCAAGCTTTGATTAAATAAGCTTAAAGTGAGGCTGGAATAGAGTTGAAGGGAACATGTGCATGGCAGTCAAAGCTGTTTCATTGCCACATATACCCTGTTCACCCCTTTGGGGCCACAGTTAAAATCAATCACCAGCCCTGATTAAGTAAGCTAACTAACACTGGTCGAGTCTACCTCACAAATGTGAGGGGAACTAACTCTTAATAATCTCTTGACTGCTGCTTGTGCTTGTTTTTTTTTTCCTCGACTTTTTACTGTCCTATAATCAGATCGTGACCTCGATTATGACACCAGCTCCTGGCCGCGAAAGGCTAACAAAAACAGCCAAATGTGAAATTTAAAAAATAATAATTGTCATGTTCTACCAAAGAGTTAGACTCACTGGTAGATCTATAACATATAGATCTAGTACTGACATCTCTGCTTCTTTGCTTTGTGTTTATGTATTCACATCTAAAGTTAAGTTTAATTTTAGTGGGAACTGATATTTAATTAGATACTTTCCCGATTATTTTGGCGGTTGAACATACAATATGAATTCCGGATTTGTTTTCATTCACAACTCAGAGTCGCCGCCTCGAGTAAGATTCTTGTGTGATATCTATAGGCCATATCTGGTCCCATTTCACTTTGATTACCCTGTCAAACAAGTCAGCCTTCGCCCGTGCACACACACACACACACACACACACACACACACACACACACACACACACACATATACAAATAAAATCAACAAGAATAGAGCTCTGATGACAGGTGACGATTACATTCCAATTTATTGACGAGGCAGGGTAAGTATGATCAACAAGCTTGCAAAGAGAACACTCGAAGGCAACAGGTACGGTATTCAAACAACTCAGTTGAAGTACACTGGCAACACTAATTAACATTAGATTAGAATTAAACAATACACAAAAATCAAGACAATTATATGTAGTAATTACTGTAAAGAGTGGAAACATCATTGTAAACAAAAAAGGAATAATAGCTTGCTTGAAAGCAACCACTAAAACCAAAAAATCTAAAATCATGATTTCTCCCAATCCCTACCGAAATGTATTAGAAGAAAGAATGAAAACAAAAGCGGCAATTTAAAAAAAATACAAAAGAAGAAAAAAAGAAAAAGTTGCTTGAATTAAATTTCTAATAACGCAATAACACATCATGAACAAGAACGAAAAAACCCACCAAAAAAAAACCAATGATGAAACAAACATCAAGAAAGTGTGTGTAAGTTGAGTTCCAACAACTTTTCATCTCCCAAAATGCTCCTCAACAAATAAAACAAGACAAACGAGGAAGGGTGAGTAGAACATAGCCATTAAGTAGCCAAAAAATGAAGTATGTTACATCATCGAAGAAGGAAAAAAATAAAATCGAGATCAGTGATGATGTTTCTTACAGTACAGTTGTGAGGATGGGGGGGGGGGGGGAGGAGGGGGCAGAAAGGCCCCCCGAAA